TCATATCGTGCGGCAGGAATATATCGTTAAAACGAGAACAGAGAAGAGAGTTAACATTTCCCACGTAGAGTGGGAACTCAATGGGATCGAATCGCTCCGGTCGAGCATGCATTGTAGTGACCGAGTGACTTCTTTGCGAGACTCCGCGTCTCTGTGAATCTGCGCCGCGTTCGAGAGTCAGGCGCGGTCCGATAACATTCGAAAGAGTTTATATCTCTCGCGAAAAGGGAAAATAATGGAACGGCCTTGCTACGCGATGGCCGGTGGCATCGCGTTGCTGCTTGTCTGTCGATCCGGAATCGAAGGTCAATTATTTTTAATGTTCTTCGCCTCCCTTTCGTTGGCGCTTGCCGTATGACAATATCCATACCACACGGATATACATCCGAGATTCTGGCCAATCTCTGCCTTTTACAATTAAAATACTCGAGTTTTTCAACGAAATAAGCGATTTGAAATTGTTTCCGTTGTTCCGTAAGCTTTGGAAAAATATGAAGTTTAGATTTTAAACGCGAGAAGAATGAAAAGCGAGAGAGACAAAATAAGTTGCGTCTTGATAAATGAAAATTAATATTCTCTCTCCCCTTCTTTCTTAATTATAAATTTATTGAGAGAGAAGAATTTGAACATAATATCGGAGCTTTTTATTTTAATTAAGACCAAGGAGTCTTTTTTTAAGTTTTGTTTCGTCTACAACTTTTTGTAGGCGGAAGTGCTCTTATCTTTTTATACATAAATTCGTACTGCGAGCCGTATCGATGTTCGTTAACGATGTTGCTCCATTAGAAATGTAAATAAAATTAACAAGGCGAATAACGAGACTCGATAAATTCTTGTGTTCGGTTCTCGAGTATAAGTATAAGAGTCAGAATTAGTATCTTAATCAACCATCGAAATTCTTTGAGAATTATTTATCTTGTTCGGTTATACATTCGCGAACAGAATAACGTTTCTCTTCGTTTTTCCCTTAAATTGAATATTTGACTGACTCCGCGTTTGTAGTTTGTGCTCGTTATTTCAACTAGCAAGAATTTATCTGGCTGCGAACTTTTCTGCGCCAACCAAGCAATTTTTTGTCCGACCGACAGTCCGCCTTTCTGATATCTTACGAAGAGATATTTTTTTCCCGACGCAATATTTAATCCCGGAGAATTAGAACGTTCTATTTCTCTCTCTTTTTTTTCTCTCTCTCCCTCTCTTTCTCGTCATTTTGTCGAATACGTTTTTTTTTTTTTACGCGTCCACAAATCTCAGTACTTTTGTTTGTCAAACATCTCGAGAAAGAAGCACCGAGCTTACAGCATTCTGAATGTAAGTGGCTTAAATGTTTCTAGTTTCACGTCGACGTGTCGCACGGCGTCTTTTACGGTCTCTAAATATTCGCGACTGAATATTTATGAAGTAGCGGATGGGACGAAACGGCGGAGTAAAACATTCGACTGAGCTTCCACTCGGCTACGTATTAATTACTATCGACGAAAAACGGAGAGGCGTTCGGTGACATGGCCATTTGGCACGACTCGCATCCTGCCGTTGTTTGCCAACCGATAAAAACTGCGGCCCGGCTCAGTCATGCGCTGCAACAACATTATTGCATAAATCGCGATTAACCTTCGCTCTGCATGCGGCAATTTGTTGTTCGAGACGATGTATCGTGTGTGTATTTGTTTCTCGGGATTGCCGAATATTTTATATTTTGTAAATGAAATCACAATTTAATAATTGTGATTCTATATACAAACTTACAGTCTCATCGATATCAATTTCTGACAAATTATACTGACAAATTGAATGTAAAAAGTTAATTGATAAAAAAAAACATTTATAAGTAATAAAAAACATATCGAAGATTCTGTAAATTGCATTACACCCCAAGCTGGGAAGAGCGGCGACAATTCGGTGCAATATTTCGGCAAGATAAAAAAGAATATAATATTTCGCTATTTTAATAATGTTTAATTTAAATCCAACTAATCGCCGAGGAATTACACTTGTTGCTGATATAACAATCTCCACGATTGCAATTGAATCCTTCCATTATGTATATTGCTTCACTTTGCGGCTCGCGTCCTTGCGAGACGGACATGTGAACGAGACGGCAATTCATTTTCGAGAGTAGTATTGATTCTCCGTTCGTTACAGAAAACACACTGGATCAATTATTTCTATCTTATTTGTCAATAATTAATAGAGTCGATTGCGATATTAGACTAAGCTGTTAGGATAAGCGCACGAGCGCGACACAATTAAATCGGATTTAAATATATATTATTTAACAAATTTATATAACATTTTTCTATATATATTATATAACAACATTATATATATTATATATATATTATATATATATTATATATCTTATATATATATTATATATCTTAGTTAAATATATTTATATATATTATTTATATATATTTACATATCTTATATATATTATATATAACAGTTTACTCTTTTCTGTAACTATTCGACTGTATTTCCGAATTAGAAATGCAAAATCAGTCGCTTATTAAGCAACAAGTTACAAATGATGGAAAGACGGGGGGATTTGACGTTTCTCTCGTCTTTGAAAATATCTCCAAAACGAGCATTTACCTTCTTGTCGTCAAGCCGAAGCGATTCCAACGGAATTGACATTTATAATTTTATTTTTTGCACGATTTCTGTCGTGCCGGCGCCGCTTTGTCGATCGATAGCTATAGAAAACGGCTTTATAGCTAAAGAAAAAAGGAAAGAGTCGTAAAGCCGGGAGCGAGAGCACTGGAGGCAGCTGATAAAATTGACAGACGCTACTTCGCACGCGCTCACTTTCCATATTATTCGATTCTCCGAACACATAAAATCGCACGATTTTCTCAGCGCAAACTTTTTTCTTCCAATCATTTCTCTCTTGTCTGGTGTGTATCACCGGTTGTATGACGAGTCGCAGAACTTTATCTGCATGATCGAATATTATTTGCAGCTTTTTTTGTGCACATATTAAACGAGCGTGTGAAAGTTTTGATGGATTTTGTGATAGCACAATGAATCAAGTAATTTTATTACAAACAATTTGTTCATTCTATCAAGTAATCATCATTTCTTTTACTGTTTTAGAATAAATAAATCTGTTTCAATAAAATTACTCGGCCTATCTCTCTTTCACAAAATTTATCAAAATGTTTGCACTTTTTATTTAATATATATGTATATATATATACATATATTTATACAATTTTTTTATCATTAAATGCGTTAGTCATCAAGCAAAAATTACTTATAAAAAAGCTTTTTTTCTATATTCGATGGCTTCAGTTAGTACAGTTTTGAGATTGTTAGAGAAAAAAAATAGAGCACGTATCGGATACTCTTGAAAAGATCTGGAGCACTCTTTCCGTAGGTTTTTGAGGAACAAATTCAACATCGATCGAGAATACACTCTTCCCGCGTTGTGCAAATTCAGCATCGAGATTTTTCTAGACCGACATGAGTGAATCTATGGCATTCGAGAGAATTGTGTTACGCGAGCATTCAATTAGAGAAAAATGATTTTGCTTTAAGTAATTTAGATGTTTCTCTCTCTCTCTCTCTCTCTCTCTCTCTCTCTCTCTTTTTTCCTCACTCATTCTGTAAATTAATAAGATTAATAATATCAAAAGTTTTCTCGATGAAATATAAGAGAGTAACTTTGCCGTTTCGCACAGCTGTTCGATATTCTAAAAACTATCAATTAAGACAAAGTCTTTCCTCTCTTACTTAAAGTAAACGTATATAACATGAAACAAGACATACCTATTAATAATGCATAAGATATTACCGAAGTTTCAACGTTAATTAGATTTGTCTTACAGTAAAGTGCTTATTACGTCAGAATTAGGACACGTATAGAGCGTTTCTGTAAGAAACGTTCATCAAGGAAATAATATATCGGTCGAGTTTTCTCTCTTTTTTTTCTCTCTTTCTCTCTTCGAATCGGATGCGATTTTACGAGCGCAGCGATTTCGCTATCGGCGCTATTGCGTGTAACGTGCAGTTGGCGCATTACGAGGACAACGGCAAGAGATCCTTGTCGTGAATTATTGCATTATCGTGTGCCTTGATTGCACACACACATTCTCTCTCTCTCTCTCTCTCTCTCTCTCTCTCTCTATCGTACGCGCGAGAAGAGGCAGCAGGTATAGAGGGTGTCTGTCGCAAAAGTCTCGGCTAATGCACTTAATTGAAGCCGGAGCCGCCACGTTATGCACCTCCGTCCGCCATTAACGAGCTCTTTCATGCAATCCCTCTGAGCCATCGCCCTATCTACCTACCTCTAGTGTGCGCCTGCACACGTGAATAATTCTGTCGAAAATTTCTGCACACTCTATGCAGTTTTGGTGACTGGTGAGAACCTTGCGCATCTTGAGAAAAGAACTTTGAGCATCTCTCTAAAATAAAGAGAATAAAGAAAGAGAGAAAGAGAGAGAGAGAGAGAGAGAGAGAGATTTGTTATTTTCATACATTAAATTTTCATCATTAAATTATATATCTATTCATATATAGTGTCTCGTTTATTTGGAAATTTTAATTGTCATATTGGATTTACATCAAGTTAGACACATGTTGTTACTTCTTTCGGCGAGCTTGTCGTGTCATTAAACACATTTAAACGAATAATTAGAGTATTGACAAAATGTGATTTTCACACCCACATATAATTAACGACCCGTTATATAATTTCTCTTTATTATAATTACAATATATATATATAGCTAAAACGTGATTAATATTAAAACATTGTGGGATTCCAGAGTGCATTTATTTGGTTCACGATGAAACGGGATGGGACACAAAATCCAATTTGTCCTGTTTTCGAAAATAGAATCGATCTGTAAATGAATGTTTTTCGCGTTTGTAGAAGTCACGGTATGGAGTCACAGGAGTCTCTATTTGTGACGGATGTCACGCGAATAACTCCGATTGGACTTGAAACGCGTGTAGTCAACCACTCACACCCTTTTCAATTTCTCTGTCATTTTCAGGTTGGCAGCAGCGCAAGAGGCGGCACAAAGGGAAACTGGATACGCGAGTCAGTACTACGGGAGAAGGTCGAGGTTGGCCGGACTGAGGGGTGGTCTCGGTGACTGGACTAGCTTCGGAGGGGAGGTAAGACGGCAATCGCCGGCTGTTACCGCCTTTGTCTTTCTGTTATCTTTCACATCAAACGTCGCGGTCGTTAACCTAGATCTTCCGACCGGACCGAGATGATTCCGAACTACCCGAGAATCGATCGCCCCACCGTCGTCGCAGCTGTGCAATTCCTTTCTTTTCTTCCAGCAATGTTTTGTGTTGCTCTTTTATACCAAAAATTGTTTGGCGAACGATTTAGTTTTCTGTTCACCGAAAATCTCAAAAGAAAAAAGAGTTGCGTTACATATAAAATCTGATTAAAATTTGAAAAATAGCATAGAATCATTCTTTAAATCTTCTTTCAAACAGTTCACGTAATATTCTTTTTTGAGACGCACAGTGATGTATCGCTACAAAGAACCTAACAACTCGCGAACACAGATAGAATTTAGATCTCCCCCCTCTGGGAAAGAAGCCAACTCTGCTGTTGGAAACGTGTGTTCTCGAGATAATGACGTCCTCTCAGCGGAGATTATCGGCCTTTTCAGGTACCTGGTCTGGTGGATATGGCGCCAGGCCGGGATCAGGGCGGAGGGACGGGTGGCGGTGGGGGAGGCGGCAGGGGCACCACGTCGTTGTTCATCCTATCGGAGGATAACATCATACGAAGGTACACGCGTTTTATCATCGAGTGGCCGCCCTTCGAGTACGCCGTCCTGCTCACCATCATCGCCAATTGCGTGGTCCTCGCCCTCGAGGAGCATCTGCCGAAAGAGGACAAGACCCCACTCGCACAGAATCTCGAGGTCACGGAGATCTACTTCCTCGGGATCTTCTGCGCCGAGGCGAGCCTCAAGATCCTCGCTCTCGGCTTCGTCCTCCACCAAGGCTCCTACCTGCGCAACATCTGGAACATCATGGACTTCTTCGTTGTGGTGACCGGGTGAGAAATCTGAGATGCTTTTCAACGCGACTCGTCCTCTCTTCTCTCCCTTTATTCATATCTTTCTCTTTACCCCCCGCGCGATTTCCCACACAGTGTGATCTTCTCTTCATATATTTCATCTCTTAAGCTCATTAAATTCTTTTACCCGATTATCTTTCAAAGATCTCCCGTAAGTGAAACTAACTATGAATTCGTCATTATCGCGAATGTTACATAATGAAATTTCTTTTAATAGTACAACATATACATAACACATTATCAAATATAATAAATGAAATTTGTTTACATTTAATTATGTACATTTATATTTCTCGCATAAATAGGACAGATAATTAATATTGATCACTCAAGAGAGACAAACATCGTTCCATCCATTAATTAATTTGCGAGCGAAGCGAGCGACAAGATAAACCTCTTTCCCTAATTACATCCTTATGAGGAAACAAGATATCGGAGGAACCAGTCTCACTCTAACATTGCCGGACGAATCGCCGCAGTAATAAAAAACATTTTGTCACACCTGTAAAATAAAACCAAAAATACTCATTTAAACATCATTTGTGACGTAGTTTTACTCTTTCTGACAAGTTCGCATACTCTTTTTTCGAAAATTCTTGCACAATGGCAATTGGTGGTCAACGAACTGGTTTCTCCAGCCGTAGATTTTAAGGAAACATGCACACACCGATCGCCATGGCGGTTGGTCAGATAGATTTTAGAGTGATCCTTGAATTAGGTCGATGACCGTGTTCGCCGAAACAAACGTGGACGTCGACCTGCGTATGCTACGTTCCTTCAGGGTCCTCAGACCGCTAAAGCTGGTTTCAAAAATTCCAAGTGAGTCAGTCAGAGTTCTGCGAAAGAACTAACAAACAGCAGCGACTAACAGAACACACTCGAAAGAATAAGTCATGCCAGTAAAAGTCGAGCTAACAGTCGAGCAGCGCAAACGCGACTCGCCTATTCCCTTTTCGACTCTTAATTTTTTTTTTTTTTTTTTTTTTTATCCCTTCAACGTTGTGTTTCCCGGCAACTTATGTGCGTTTTCATAGTAACATAGTTTTAATGTCTCCAACGTGCGCCGAAACTTAGCTCGACCTTCCAGTTTCGGCTCTCCGCTGCTATTTAGTTATATGGTGCGACGTTCTAGTTCTGGCAAGCGAGAGAAGCATCGACTTGGATTTGTCTTTATATATATTACATTAATATATATATATATATATACATACATACATACATACATACATATATTTATATAGTTCCCGTCCTTCTAGTCTCCTGCGTTAGTCTTCTAATTGCGTAATACACGTCGTATACGTTTTTTACTCAGTTTCGCTTAGAGGCTATGGGTGTCTTAGATCAATTGAAACGAAGTTTAGAATTTGCGATGGGTAAAGCTAGTTTCGCAGTTTTGTGACGATCGATATTCTTATTATGGGTAATAAATTATATGTTACATAGTGTTACATATGACTATTCTGTGTCTACACGTTGTTTTATATATGAATATATATTTCATATTATAGATACGTATGTATATACATAATGTGCTACTTTCTAAATAGAGAATTTGCGTAAACTAGTGATTAGACGTCTCCAATGTATTTGAATTGTTTTTTTAGACAAACGAATATTTACACTCTCTTACTTTATAGAAAATACAATCACACATACATATACAAAAAAAAATATATAAATATTTCCCTCATACAAAGAAAGAGATTCTTGTTTGTTGTTAACATAAATTCTCTATAATTTCTTGTAAAAAAAATAAAATTTGACTGATTGTATAATAATCTTATCTCTGTTTGAAATTTTCGTAATATTGTGACAGAAAATATTATTTTATATCATACAGTTTTAGCAATAATTATTATGCTAAATATGATGAATATATATACTTGTGGTTACTTTTTCTTACGACAGATTATAGAATAGACAAAGCAATATATTATATGTTTAATACATAATTTTTATATTCTTAGTTTAGACAATCCTGTATGTGTAGGAAAATATACGTAGCGCTTTTGGATATTTTTACATGTATAATTGTTGTACTAATTTTGAACTATAACGTTAACTACTTACTTGTGTCGCCAATTGTGGTAAAACGAAAGAGTCGTTCCGAGTGTTTCCATTTCGGAAATGACAATTAGGACCAATTACGTCTCCGATTACGCAGAGGATGCGCACTCATGAGAGCGCAGGTAGACAGGAAAAGAAAAAAAAAACACACACACGCACACAGTTATGATGACCCGCTGAGCAGTGCCTATATTTAGCGGTTAGCTATCTTTAGCTGCAGTCGCTAAATAATAGAGTCGACTATACATTGTTAAATGGATACGTGTCCTAGAGCAGATAACGCTTGCTCAACAGCAAGCTCTCCCGTTGGAAAACTCGTACTTTCTAGACATTCAGGACAGACCGAATCGTTACTTCACGGATGTCCATATAAATCCCCAAGCTTTGACCAAGATCCTCATTACTAGGATTTGCTTTTGTTCGCTTCCATAGGAGTTTTCACGTGTGTTAGTCGATATTATTGATAGTTTTCATCGTTAGCGTCATTGACAGATAACTATAACATGACATTTACTCTAACGATAGACTTGACGTTTACTATAACGATAGATATAAGATTATATGGGAGAATTATCTTTCCCATTTGTGATTTTTTTTTTTTTTTTTCATTTTTCCTAACACTCTGTTTAAATTTAAGTTTAGAAGTTTATACACTAATAAACGTTTGTTAAATCACGAGAAAGTAAAATTCAGAAAATACGAAGTTTCTTAAGTTCCTCTCTTCGACATGATGAAAAAAGTCCACTATATATCCGTTTTATATCTCATCTCCGGACTGAGAAAACTATTTTCGAAGAGTCGTTACTATCGGCAAGAGTCAGAAATAAGTAAGAGACGGTCAATGACCATTTCAGCTAAACTGATATCTTTGAGAAACTACATTTACATGCGATTATAGCTGCTATCGCTAGCTCGTCCCAACGTTTCACATTCTCCTAGACCTAGATATATCTATATATACAGTATTTTACATAGTATAGAGAATACGTACACATATATAGACACATGTGCCCATCTATACATTGATCCTCTCCCGCAGCGATCTCTTCAGTAGATTGTTAGTCCAACATGTCAGATCATTCGATTTCGAAAATACATGTTATTATTAAAGTTAATATAAAAAAAAAAAAAATAAAAGAAAAAACACCACGATCTTTTCTTTTTCACAAAAAATATGTAAAAATTAAGAGAGACATTGAAGTAAAATGTTGATGTTTATGTTACACATGTTTGTGAATATATATATTTTTTTTAAATCTAAATAACAAAAATTAAATTGAAAATTGTTTCACACTGTCTCTCTTCTAACTTGTCGGAATTCTGTTTTGTCTTTTCTATTACATTTGAAAAGTCCATTTGATTAGTCCCGATTAGCACCATCTTCTCGGGCTAGAGCAACGCTAGTTTAACCACCTAGTGGCCGTAGTTCTAAGATAATTAGCGTGAGTATTAGTGTAATAGAGTAGAAAGTAGTAAAGTGTGGCGGGGTGTGTGTGTTTTTGGAGCAGGATCATCACGGCGTTCTCGGCGGGCATACACCTGGAGATGGATCTGCGTACGTTGCGTGCGATACGCGTGTTGCGACCGCTCAAACTTGTCTCCGGCATACCGAGTGAGTAGCGCATCAATACAGATTGGAAAAGGACGCCGAGTGTCGATCGAGTTTTTTTTTTCGAACTCGGGGCTACTCGGCTCTCGCAAGAGAAAATCCAAAAGAAAGAAAAAAAAAACAAAATCTCGCGTCGCCGGGAAAGTGTCATCCTGTTGTCACGAATTCCCGCGAAAAAAATCTCCCGAGATATAGCGCCTTTAAATTAAACGCTCACACTCGCATCTTGAAATCGTCTCTGTAACATTAGAATTACTTAATGCTTATTCTGAATTTGCTAATTGTATTGAACAATTAACACGCCGGTTGATTTTTTAGATAGATGTTGTTCTTAGCGCTAAAAAGGTGTGAGTTTGAGCGAAAGGTGTTTTTAATTTACTGCATATACACACATTTAGCGCTGAATGTTCCGTTCCCCTTGTATTTGTATTCTACTGTTGTGCACGTAATTATACGTTTGTGAATAACAAAAGCATATTACCTAATGAAAGCAAACGTTTGATATGCGAGAGAGATAAGAATATTTAGACGATCACATTTGGCGCTAAAACACGCGATTAAAAATTCAGTTCTTGTTGCTCGGGAAATTTATTGCTTACTCGAGCAGAATTGTGCGAACACTTGTGTCTGAGATTGGGACGCCTCAAGGATCGCGCACACGCGATCTGCCGTAGAGAATAAGTATTTCCTCAAATAGTGGCTTCAATAAAGAGCGAATTAATGAACACGAAGTCAAGCATATAGATCAGAATATAGTCTCATATCTTTTATTGCAGATATATACGTTTATCGCAGATATATACGTTTTTTATCTATTACCCGTAGAATGCTTTCCGCTAAGTTAGATCGATTGTTTGTTTTATCATTACGTAGTATTGTCCAATTAGATATTATTATATTAAGAGCTCGATGTTGTGTTTAGATGCGGCAAAGGTGTTCCAGTTCTCAGATGCTCAGCGAAATTTCGAGAACTGAATAGATCAGATGTGTATTTTTTTTCTAAAACTGTTTCCGAATTGCACACACATAGTATATATTTTGAGTCGAGTGTCACAGTAACCAAATCTTATTTTTGAAAATAAGTATATGATAATTTTGCTTCGCTATTTTTTTAAATTTATTTATCACACAATTGCACATTCAAAAGATGATTGTTCCAATCGCTTAATGCTAATGTGGTTGTCTTAGCGAATAATTACATAGATTCACGTGAATCTTGGCGTGAAATTTCTCGAGCAACATGTAAAATAATAACAATAACAATAACAATAACAATAATAATAATAATAATACACAAAGAACGGAAGTTATATTAATCTCGTTGAGAGATTGTAAGACCTAATTTACTCCTCTGCGATGTTTTGCAAAACAGGTCTTCAGGTGGTGCTCAAGTCTATCATCAAGGCGATGGCACCGCTCCTGCAGATCGGCTTGCTGGTACTCTTCGCTATCGTGATATTCGCCATCATCGGCCTCGAGTTTTATTCGGGAACCCTGCATAAAACGTGCTACAGTATAGAAAACATCAGTGAGTAGATCGAAGACTGCGACGCAGTGTTTCGCAAAAAAACAGTTTTGCGTATTTTAGCGAGTAAAGGATAAAAAAGAATCGCACAACTAAAATTCGAGAAATTGTATTCTGTGCGGGGGCACGAGTCTCGAGTGCCCCTGGCGTGTCAATGTGTTCGTAATGGTTTACGACGTTCGAATGTTGCAGATGTAATCATACAGGAAGGCGAGCAACCGAGCCCGTGTTACACCCTGGACGACGCGAAAGACGACGCTCCGCTCGGGGCCCACGTGTGCAACGCGAGCGAATCTATGTGCTTGGAGCGCTGGGTGGGACCAAACTCGGGCATCACCAGCTTCGACAACATCGGATTCGCCATGCTCACTGTCTTCCAGTGTATCACTATGGAGGGCTGGACTGCCATATTGTACTGGGTAAAGCAAGAAATATTCCTCAGTGTTAAAAGTTCTTTCTCTTGTTCTCCCCTTTCATGTTTTTTTTTTTTCTACATTGCCCTATCTCTCTTTCTCGCTCTCGTTCTCTCTGTTCAAAGTTTCGTTTTCAATATTTGTTTTTTTTTTTTTACCGTGCCGTTTGTGCAAGTATCCTCGATGTTGTCACTCAGAAAGAAGGATCGACAGCAAAAATTTTCAAATTTTGTGTGTATATATCACGTAGAACACTCTTATATAATCAATGTTTATATCAGTTATTATTATCTCTCCCACACACCTTCGCTGACGCTTCGCGATTTGAGTGTCGCATTTTTGTACAAAATAAACTTCTCTCTTTCTCCCTGTTGATTTATCATTTTCTCTTTTAAAACGAAAAGATGTTATCGAGTTATCAAAAAAAAAACCTTAGTATAAACATTTCTAAATCTTTCTATTTGCTTTTAAATGTCTATGTTCCTTTTGCAATCAGTTATTGATCAATTTCTATCTCGATCGTTGTTACCCTGTGTGTTCGCCTGTTCTCTATATTCGGCTTCCATCGAATTTTTGTCGGCTTTCGGGTTCAAGAATGCCTTGCGAACAAAAGCTAACACTGATGTATATGTTCACCTTGCTCAGTATGACATTGTCAGTACCAGCCCTCTGTTTTCTCGATGTTTCAATATTGATGTTAAATGTTAAACCTTTCATTGTGCTTAACCTTTTCGTGACCGAATTGCTATTGTTCGTTTTTTTTTTTTTTTTTTTTTTTTTAACCTTGAAACGCGTGTATTATAAATGTGAAATCACATGTGCTGAATGTGTCACGAAAGAGTTAACGTGTTGCCTGCGGTGGATTACGGAAGATTTCAAGATTATTATCTCATCGTTATATACGCAACTTGAAACCTTCCGACATCTAACTTCTTCATTGGTTGTAACAAAATCACATGAACTGTTTAGTAATATATATACCCCGTAAAAATTTCTACTTTCTCAATGTTTGTTTGTAAATGGGTAATCCGGTGTAAAATGTCAGTTGGGGAAAAATATCACGTTTCGAAATTACCGGGAAATTCTCCGGGGAATTAGTTCTCAAAAGTTTTAAAATTGAAATTGTTTTAATTAAAAAAAAAAAAAACTCGCGTATTAGAGACAAAGCAACTTCGCAGTTGGTCGTCGGGATAATGTGCAATGGGTAAAAGAGTATGTAACTATTAATGCAAAGCGAAAAGCTCGAAAAATGGCATATTTCTCTGATTTTTATTTTTTTTTCCCCCGGATTACCTCAGCTCAATGTGCTCCAAAGTTGCATAAAGCTGATATTATATTGTTTCCGTGTAAATGCGGTCGGCGAATTTTCAATCTATTTTCAGATTGAATTTCCTCGCGATGTCGGGGCAAAATTTGTCTTTGTGGCGAGAAATGAAAATTATCGAATAACGATAAACAAATATGAACACTCGCACTCGAACGACCACATTTAACATGTCGCGTACGGTGCAGCGAGAAACACCGTTTCGACGTCTGTGTCGCATAACACATGTTTTTTTTTTTTTTTTGTCGTTAATTAATATATCTTCAGCTGTGTAACCGGCGCATATATGTTGTACAACACACGCGGCATTGCTTGCCGCATATTGATTCTGGTCGAATTTACAGACAAACGACGCTCTTGGCAGCACGTATAACTGGATTTACTTTATACCATTGATCGTCCTTGGATCATTCTTCATGCTGAACTTAGTTCTTGGTGTCTTGAGCGGGTGAGTATGTTCGTCCCTTAAAAAAAAAAAAGACAAACAAGTTTCTCCCTCCGTCCACGTTCAGCGATAATTCACGAAAGCGGCAATATGAAAAGCGAAAAACTCGTGAAAGGTCTGTTCAGCATTTGAGCATTGCTTTCTTTCCTTCGTCAGGGAGTTTTCGAACGAAAGAACGCGCGTCGAACGGCGAGCGGCTTATCGGAAAGCGAAAAACAAGCGACTCTTCACCACTGCGTTCAGTTCCTACTTAAAGTGGATCACTCAAGCAGGTCTTTGATTAAGACATCTTGCCTGACATATCGCAAGAAGTTGTATGTTTTTTTTTGTTGTTTTTTTTTTTTAATAGCGTGTCGCTGCAATTGTAACACAAGCTAGATTGAAGAAATTTGCCAGAAGTATTTCCACAAAAAACCGATTTACTCGCAATGTTTTTTTTTTAAACAAACATGATTAATGTAAACGCACCAGTATCGCTAGAGATTATTTAACGCTACAGCCAGGAAATCCCTCTCCGAACGTAGCCCCTTATATAAAAGTTCATTCACACTTTCGAATAAGCCATATCACCTGTATCACGCTTGTAGAGAGTTTGCAAAGGAGAGAGAAAAGGTGGAGAACCGGCAGACCTTCCTGAAGTTGCGAAGACAGCAGCAGCTTGAGCGCGAGCTGAATTGTTACCTGAATTGGATCTGCAAAGCAGGTTAGATCAGTCACCCTAAAAGGATTGACAGAAATTCCTTTCCTGACAAAAAATGGAGAAACTTTTATGTAAAAAAAAAAATGAAGAAATTAGTTCAAAAATTAAAATACTAGATTTTCCTTGAAAAAAAAAAAAATAACACAAAGTCTAGTCAGCCTATTTTTTAATTACTTTATTTTGTAACAAACTGCTTGGCAAAAGTTATACAGCTTATTGCGTATAAGCTAGATTACGTTATTTTCGCTGCTGATTATATTATTGACGTGTAACGTTTGTTGTTTTTTTTAGAGGAGGTTATACTCGCCGAAGAGAGGACCACAGAAGAGGAGAAAGAGCACATTATGGAAGGTTCATATAATATGCGTATATCTCACCACAAATTATTCACTTCTCTTTCCAACATAAAATACAAAACAAACAAAATCTTGCAACTTTCAACAATTCGAATTGTATTCAGATTTGCGATAAAGAATTAATTAGCGCCGTTGTTTATGTGTAAAAAGTACGTAATCAAATTTGTAATATGTATTTGTGTTTTTCGCAGTAAGAAGAAGAGCAGCAGCGAAAAAGAAAAAGCTGAAGAATCTCGGCAAGAGCAAAAGCACTGACACGGAAGAGGAAGAGGGCGATGACGACGGAGACGATGGTGAGTTGTATTTGACCTACTCGGTTCTCATATTGCCGAGTACTCTTTTTCTTGTTCACATCTTTTTACATCTGTTGATTATTTTTCTTCGAGAGTGTTCGAACAAACTCGTTGTGAAATCGAGACCAGGTTCGAGTAGTAAGGAATTTTACAATTTACTCAGTAGTCAGAGAACGTGTGTGATGTAGGCCAACGATTTTCTCAATTTTACAACATAAACATTACACAACACAGTTTATGTAATGTTACAATATATCGACAGAATATTGTTTATTAAATTACGTGATAACTTGCACACATGAACAACTTTTTGCAAATTTATAAATTTAGCTAAAGAATATAATACATGAAATTTTCTTGCGTGTAACGTGAGTTAAAGTTACGTATATATAAACGTTTTGAAACTGCGCGTAGTCGCGTATTGCGAAGGAAATCGTTGGCAAAATTTTGGCCCGCCTTATTCTTTTGTTCTAAAAATTTTTCTCACTATTTATTGGCACGTTAGCGTTATATATATATATATATATATGGTCATCGGTATATATCGTTGACACTTTGTGGGTTTATGTCTGACTTGACTTTTGTATCGAGAGAAGAAAAAAAAAGAAATGTCGAGAAATTCCCTCCCCTTCATTTTTGCCGATGAATATTCTAAACACACGCTATCAGATGCTCCTCTTGTTTCAGTGCCTAAGAAAAAACTCAAAGGTAACTACAACCGTGATTGCCACTACTTTTGCGCAAAGAGCAACGTAAAAACAGGCTGTATTCGTAATCTTACACTAAATGTTTTATTTTTGTATTTTTGTTTGAAAAGGACGTTGTTTTTTTTTTTTTTTTTTTTGGTAATACGCACATATAAGTGTAATATCGTGCGTATCGTGCATTTTCATGATTAGATGCGGACTATCGCTTGGTATAAACAAATTATTTGACGCCTATATATTCGCGTATACAGATTGTCAGTAGTCACGCACTTTGTCGCATCGGACGTGTAAAGAAACAAATAATTTCCGCATTGAAACGTAGTTCTAATATGATAGAATGAAAGAGCTAGAGCTTTATATATTTCTCGCTATTTTTGAAACATATTTGCGAAGAAAACTTACTTAAAATATTTGTGAACAGTCAACAATCACATTTCGATACGACCCTTAAGACATACAAACAAAAATATTTAAATATCTTTATCGAGCAGAACTCTTCAGCAACAATAATTTTATCTTGAGAATTAAGACGCTATTATACAACATCTACATAATTTTACACGCTTTGCTATGTACAAAATCATGGATTTAACAATGGAGAAACGTACTTTATATACTCGAATGATATATTGCGAAAAGACAGATAACTGTATTGCATTCTAATTACATAATTACTCGGACTGCTACTGCATTTATGGTTGACACAAATCACTCGGGCGGGTTACACAGACATTGCGCGCGAGAGACAGATCGAATAACTCAAAAGCTAATTTTGTTTCCTAGATTATGCTTCTATTGGCTGATGTGGCGATATATGAATACTATAATTTCGTTGAAGCCGGAAACATTTGTATGCGCAATTATAAAATGTATATGTAAAAGAAAACACAAATACGTAAAATTCATGCAACTTGTTGTCGAAACATTTTGGAGAAGAAAATAAACATTTTTTTTAACTATTCAACATTACAGAAAAATTTTGTTACTGGTGTGGTCAAGTCAATGTTAAACAATGCTTTTATTATTCAAGGTAAATATTATTTTGGTCATGCCAGTAATAAATTTTTGTAAGAATACTTCTGTTTAAAATAATTTATATTAAGAGCGCTTACATAAAACAATAATTTTGTTTACCGTGAAATAAAATTGAATTTCGAATGATCAATGACGACGCGTATCGTTAAATATAAAAATAATTAAATATAAAAGTTTCCGGCAAAAATATTTTTTACATTATTTAGGTACATCGTGTGTGTGTGTGTGAAGTATTGATTAATGTTTTTATTACTTTTTATACGACTATAATATTAGCTAGCTGAAACAAACTGACAGAACAGTAGAGTACTTAGTGTCGAATATGTAAGGAATCGAGTAGTATATTATAAATCCCTGTCCCATAGAATTTGATAGATGAGGCTAATCCCGGCCTGTCAACGTGATCACACATCTAGCAACTAGGTAGCCACAAATGCATCGCCATTTATTAGAATCGCTTGATTGGTAGAGTAATTAGTATAGAATTTTATATCTACATCTCTATATATAGATTTATTTTTGAATAGAAAAACGAAAATGATTTTTTAACTCTTCCAGTCGATGTACTATTATATAGAATAGATACGTAATGTAATTAATAATATTATGACAGAAATTATTTAAGTTTCAAATGTAATACATTTGTGATGTGTATTTAATAGAAAATCTAAAAAAATATTGTTAGTCAAAATCAGAGACATCGAAAGATTTCGAGTCACAATTAAAGTTTTATAACTTTTTATTAACTTTGAGTTGCAGTACACGTTGTACATTCTTGAGTCCTTGAGTTTATAATCGCGGAAATAGTTTAGCAAATAATACGAAAAGATAAGACGTATGAGTCTCTTAGTGAAACAGGTCAGCTGAAATAATAATTTTGTTTATTTATAATAGATAAAAAGTACGATGAAAGAAAGACAGAGAGAAAGAGAGAGAGAGAGAGAGAGAGAAAAAGAGAGAGATGTCATCTGCAAGTAAAAATCGACTGGCCCGTGTCTGTGAAATGTATACGTTCCAGATGTGCTCGATGTCTCATGCTGAAGACGGTTCTTCTATTTTATAGGATTCTCGAGAGCCTCCGTCTTCAAGTCAAAAGTGAAGAAGCAAGGCACGTGCTTGCAATTCTGGCGGGCCGAGAAGAGGTTCAGGTTTTGGATACGCAACGCCGTCAAGTCGCAACAGTTCTACTGGTTTGTCATCGTTCTTGTATTCTTCAACACCTTTTGCGTGGCCGTCGAGCATTACGGTCAACCGCAGTGGCTCACCGACTTCCTCTGTAGGTGTTTTCCCACTTTTGTGAAATCATGCATTTCTTCGCCAATCCAATGTTTCATATTGTAAATTAACGAATATATTTTCTTACTTGTCGCAGACTACGCAGAATATGTGTTCCTAGCTCTCTTCATGATGGAGATGTTTATAAAGGTCTACGCGCTCGGTCCTCGCACATATTTCGAATCGAGCTTCAATCGCTTCGACTGCATGGTCATCTTGGGCTCGATCTTCGAGGTGATCTGGTCCGCGGTGAAGCCCGGCTCTTCTTTCGGTCTCTCCGTCCTACGTGCCCTTAGACTCCTGAGAATTTTTAAAGTCACCAAATACTGGAAGAGCCTGAGGAATCTCGTGATATCGCTGCTCAGCTCGATGCGCAGCATCATCTCCCTTCTCTTCCTGCTCTTCCTCTTCATTCTCATATTTGCGCTGCTCGGTATGCAGCTGTTCGGCGGCCAGTTCAATTTCGAGAGTGGCACGCCGCCCACCAACTTCAACACGTTTCCCATCGCACTACTCACTGTCTTCCAAGTGAGTAAAACTGATCGTTTTTACGCAAGTCTACGCTATTTTTTTTTTCGATTAATAAAAACTGTAAATTACATTGTGTGTGATTTAATAATCGTTCTGGTTTTCTTAGAAAGACCTACTTGGTGAGAGAAGACTCATTTTGTGGTCTCGCCAGCTTAGAAAGCTATTATTAATTTAGTGTTTAGAAATCTAATTAAAACTAAGTTGCTCACGCTTGTGTCAATCAATTTGCACATTCATTCTTATAGGTAAAATATTTAACTAACTTGATAACTGATGATGTGATAGATCCTGACTGGAGAAGACTGGAACGAAGTGATGTACCAAGGTATCGAATCGCAGGGCATGGCCCACTCGCTCTACTTCATCGTGCTGGTGCTGTTCGGCAACTACACCTTGCTGAACGTCTTCTTGGCTATCGCTGTCGATAATCTTGCGAACGCGCAAGAACTTAGCGCCGCCGAGGAGGAGCAGAAGGAGGAAGACAAAGAGAAGCAGTTACAAGAGCTCGAGAAAGAGATTGAGTCGCTGCAGAAGCCCGGGGACGGTAGCGCACCGAAGGTGGAAATCTGCCCTCCAAGTCCAAGCCAGAATTTGTGAGTTTTCCTTCCTCTTTGTTACGTATTCTCGATTGGTTTTTTATTTTTTATACATACGAGTTCTACAGAATAAACAGAGTTTGAGAATAAAAAAGATCAAAATAAATAATTATTTATTATTCAAGTAAAATAAAAATAAATATTAATTAATATTTAAAATATTTAGAAATATTTTGAATAATAATAATATATTTATTTTAGATTAATATTAATAACATGTAGTAATTATTAACTAAAATATATATTAATGTATACATATATTATTACTGTATTATTAGTTAATAATAATTATCTACACACTTTTTTTTTTATAATGTCATCGTTGTTTTTCAGAGACGGAAGAGGTGAAAATCAGGCGTCCGAAGAAAGGAGGCAGGATGAAGACGACGACACGGGACCAAAACCAATGCTGCCATACTCCTCCATGTTTATATTGTCCCCTACGAATCCGTAAGATCTGCTTTATAATATTGATTCGAAATAAACTCTGTTCTTCTAGACAAGAGAGTTCATTTGTAAATAATCTTCTGTTTGTAGCATAAGAAGAGCCGCCCACTGGGTCGTGAACCTTCGGTACTTCGACTTCTTCATAATGTTGGTGATATCGCTGTCGAGTATCGCGCTGGCCGCCGAGGATCCCGTCTGGGAGAACGCGCCGAGGAACAAGATCCTCAATTACTTCGACTACGCGTTCACCGGTGTTTTTACCGTCGAGATGGTGTTGAAAATTATCGATCTCGGCATCATACTGCATCCGGGCTCGTATCTGCGCGAGTTCTGGAACGTAATGGACGCGGTCGTAGTGATATGCGCCATGGTGTCGTTCGCCTTCGACATGACCGGTAGCTCGGCCGGCCAGAACCTTTCGACTATTAAATCGCTGCGAGTGCTACGAGTGCTCAGGCCGCTCAAGACGATAAAACGCGTGCCGAAACTCAAGGCGGTGTTCGACTGCGTGGTGAACAGTCTCAAGAACGTCATTAACATTCTCATAGTGTACATATTGTTTCAATTCATCTTCGCTGTGATCGCGGTGCAGCTGTTCAACGGTAAATTCTTCCACTGCACCGATGAGAGCAAGTATACGAAAGATGATTGCAAGTGAGTACATGTTCTTATTCGTCAGTAAGCGAAACACTATCATAGTAGTCAGAGCACATAATAGTAGTCAATACTAAGATGTTGATTTCGATGAGTAAATAAAACAAATGAGTAAAAAACAAGTAAGGTAAGTGTCTTAAGTATCACTGGACATATATTTAAAAAAATTAAGACAGTTAAAAAATTATTTGTTAAAGAATTACAACAAAATATTACAACAAAATATTTATATATATTAAATAATTTTTTTTTTTATTTTGTTTGATTCATACACATGTCCAGTCATTGAGATATTCATCTTTTAGCGTACACATTAAATAAAACATTATTTTTACTAACATTTCTCTTTTTATTTATGTCGTGTTGCACAAATAATACAAATAGAAACATAAAAAAGTAACTTCATTTTTTGTGGCAGCGGTTACTTCTTCGTTTACGAGGAGAATAACATGATACCGAAGCTCAAGCAACGGGTTTGGGACTCCCAGTCCTTTCACTACGATAACGTGATGGTGGCCATGCTGACGCTGTTCGCCGTACAGACCGGCGAAGGTTGGCCGCAGATCTTGCAGAACTCGATGGCGGCCACATACGAGGACCAGGGCCCCATCCAGAATTTTCGCATCGAGATGTCCATTTTCTACATCGTCTACTTCATCGTTTTTCCATTCTTCTTCGTCAACATCTTCGTGGCCTTGATCATTATTACGTTTCAGGAGCAAGGAGAGGCTGAACTTCAGGACGGTGAAATCGATAAGAATCAGGTGATATCTCGCGCGAATCGTTTTCTAATCGCGTGCAATAAAAAACGCGATATGAGAATCTTATTATTATTAAACATTTTTACATGGACACGTTAACAATCGTGCGTTTAAATTTCAGAAATCGTGTATAGACTTTACAATACAAGCTCGTCCGCTCGAGAGGTACATGCCGAAAGAGCGAAATAGCATAAAGTACAAAATCTGGAGGATAGTCGTATCCACGCCATTCGAATATTTTATCATGGTACTCATCGTTTTAAACACGTTACTGCTTATGATGAAGGTAAGTGTCACGATGATCTCTTCTTTTGCACATCAATATTTCTCTTTATTAATCAGATTAAAAATTTTTCTCCCCGATTCGTTTCGATAAAAAAAAAAAATAAATAAATAAAAACGCGATTAAAATCAGAGAAACAAAGAAAAAGAAAATAAAACGCGCGCTTTTTCTATAAACGAGCAATCGCAAGCAAACATTTTTCGTACAAATTTTGTGAAACTTGCTTGTGAAGTTAAACGGAAAATATAATTCAAACACGCGAGACTTTAAATCCAAGTTTTGCTCTCGATTGCTCTCATTTCGCGGTATTATTATTATGTAAAAGGGAGACATAAAACGCAAACTAAAAAACTAGTTTCTAGTATAATACATATAGGTAGTAAGACAATCTTTTATTCAAGATTCAAATAATATAAAATATATTTTTGCACATAAAAAGATTTTGTTGCACTTAGACGTAAAGTACCAAAAGGTTTTAATAAAACTAATTCGATAGCAAAAATATTCACACAGAGCATATGTTTCAAATGTTTTCTCAGCTAAGATACAATATCAATTTGTCCTGCGACACGTTTGTGATTTCTAACGTGTTTTCGATATTCGCGCGTGCTTTAATTTTGACGAGAGATTCCGTCACAGAGATAATTGGCAACTTTAACCAATCGACAAACAGTTTCGTCTCTCGTTAGTGTTAACGGAGATTACGCGAGATCATAAACCAGAATATGTATATCGTTTCCAAGAACCGTACGTAATGACTTATGTGTACCATATATATTTATATATCACGTTATATATATGTATATATATATATATATATACATATATATACATATATATATATATCTACGTACGAGAACATTGTTGTTCTTGCCTGCTGACCTTTTTTGATCGTATTCTCTGTATAACTGTATCACTTGTATTTTATCAATACGTGTACACAGCTATATCGAATTTTATCTTATTCCCGTTTGCCAAACCTTTTCCCGCAAAATTTCTTCCTTTTTGTTTAGCGACAATATTATCAGTTTTTTTTCTTGTTTCGCCACACTATGTTTCCTCAGTTCGGAAAATAATTCTTTTTTGTTTTAGATATTTGATATTATTTTAAACGATAACTGAGATTCTATGCATTCAGTCTGAAGTATTATTCCACGCGCGAGTTTATATCTTAATTAATATCTCACATTAATATATTTTCTGTAAAAATAATTGCACTTACAGAATATAAATATATATATAATAATTATTGTTTTTGACTTTTATGCATATAAAAAATAAAATAATTTAACAGACTTAAATTGTACTCTGGAAAAATATAAAAAAAAATGTAAATTAAAGTCAAAATCGTATATGATATTGATATCCAGGAAAGAAATACTGTAATATAACACATGTAGTTTATTACAATGAGATCTATAGTTTTTTAAAATAATTTTCTAACGTAAACACGCCCTTTGTTTTGTCTTGCATTTTTAAGAGTTTAATAAGAGATAGAAGAAAACATGATTTTTACAATTTTCCTCGTTCAGTTATTTTAATTTTATTTTAATTTTTATTTGTTTCTCTTATAAAAACTTCTAAAACTGGTTTCGCTGTGTGATCCCACCTGTTCCTCGTTCGATCAATTGCATGGCTGTCGCTGTGTCCTCGTTTTCTTAGTAGACATTCTTTGAGAACGTGCAAAAGGAAAACACGTTTTCGTATATCTCTCAGTGTGTGATTTCCACAACAACAACATAACACACTAACACAACGTGCGTTCGAGTTTTCCATTGCCTTGCTAATACCATGTTTTAACTGGTAGCAGGGTGAAAGCAGTTGCGTTGCACTTCAAACCCATCCGCTTGAAATGATTTTAGAAAAACAGGGTGCCGGAAAATCACGTTTTCTTGGCGTCTACAAGCCCTGCACGCGAATCCACTGTTATGAAACATCCTCTGCTCTCTTCAAGCTCGACATTTAATTTCTATATTGTCTCTATTCTGTTTATATTTTTTGAAATACTTATTAATAGTCGCACAACTTGATTTAAACAAGCTTCTGTTACGTTTAAATTAATATTTAAAGAAGTAAATATATTAAAAATTATTTTATAATTTTTTTAAAAATTAATCTGTGATATTCAAAACCAGTAAGAATACTAGTTACTTTTATAGCTGTTACTTTAAAAAAAAAAAATAATTTAAGACATAGCACAAAAAAAGCTGGTTTTTTGATCAATTTTCTTGATTCTCAAAAGTAGATATTTTTATATTTTTCCCACTTGAGACTATCCGTGCTAGAGAATATACACGAGTGCGAATCAAAGAAAGATAACTGGCTGGATCTGCGCACGCTTCAATGTTAAAACAATTGAATCCCGAACTCTCGACTTGGACTCCTTTCATCTGCTTTTCAATTCCTTTTGACTTGTTAAACAGTCAGACAGTTTGACAGTTTGAACGCACGAGATAGATATTTCTTTCTCCGTCTCTCTTTCGTACGTGATCACAGCCTGAAACCCGGAAACTCGCTGAATTAGAGACACGTACACGTACATATGCTGATTCAAATCGAAACACACAACGCCCGATTATATATTTGTGGTCGGACTTGTTTTGCCTGTAAAAAAAAAAAAAAAACACGGAATGTTCAGATCACTTGCACACGCACTGCACCGAAGTCTTGAGAAAGCACATCACTGAGAGTGACACCACGATATGTTCACGTTGCTCGGTACGATTGCACGAGCGAGAAGACAATGTTTTTTAAGAACATGTATATGTTTTACAACTTTTTTTTACTAAATTTTTTGTGATAAACAATTGAGAGAGAAAACAACGTAAAAAAAAAACTCAACGTTGGTTTCTATTTTGCATAAAAAAGTTGTGTGTTTGGAAAAAAGTATATTACACACAATTATATATGTAGAATAAATAATATTTATAATTAATTTGTGTGTAAAGAGAGTATGTTTAAAAAATAGTTTAAAAAAAAAATATTTTTAGTTTTAATTTATTTGAATGTCGCAAAATATATATTGTATGTATTTAAAATACAAAGTGCATAAAATGCTAACACAATGCGAAATTAATCGATTTAACGTTTATGGATTATCTTCTCGTTCGATAATAATTACTGACACAATGTGTATATACAGAGTGTTCACGCATTTCTTCTCACACACACGCGCAAAACTACGCGTCGCATGCTGACTGCTGCCGAAAACAGATCGATCGATATTAGAAGCGAAACAGCAATGACATTAGACATCCATTGAATGTGTGTGTGTTTTTACAGTGACAAGAAACACACTGCACGGGGGCGTCCGCACGTTTCATCTCTCTTCTTTTCCTTCCTTCCTTCCCTCTCCCCTCAAAAAAAAAAGTGATTACGAAGAGATCTGAGCACTTCGAAAATTGAAAGTTGTCATTCCTATGGCGATTCCTTTGTTAATTACAAAAACTGCACTTTTTTAATTCCTGAAATTTACTTATATTGAGTGTCTTGGTTCGATTGTTCTTTGCGTTTTCTTTTTTTTATCGTTTCTTTCTTTTTTTTTTGTCGTAGTCTTTTATTAGTTTTTCGTGACTAGTTTCTTTGAACACTGACACTGTATATGTCCTTGATCCAGACTTCGTGAGGGAATGACGGCAAAAAAAAAAAAAACAATTAAACATATTGATAATCAAAATACAATTTACTGTTGCACAGCAGTATCTCTCTCGTGTGAATGTAATAAAATTCTAAATAAGATTTGATCTCTGAGATTTATCAGATACTAGTAAACTTTTTCAAATACTGAGATGGTTTTTTTGAATGTAAGATAAATGTCTTAATAACCGAACATGTGTATCAATGGCCAAACATTTACTAAAGAAATAATTAAATAGATTATTACGTAAATATTAATCATAACAATTCTCAATGTTTTAAGTATTTTTTAAGACAGTTTTAATTATTAGTTTTTAACTTTTTACACGTAAAAAAATACTTTCTTACAATTGTATTTCTTTAATAAATATGCGGCTAGTGGTACTTGTCTTTGGAACATTTATCTTGTAAAAAATTTTCAGTTTTTAAGAGTATCCTTTCTTAACAATATTGACATTTCCTTGCGAAGTCCGTTGTTCTCAAAAAACCTTCGATATACAACCCATTAATTTAGAAAACCGATCAGTTAACACTTATTTATACCTTAGTACACGCAAAGTGTCTCTAAAAAATCATATGCAATGCGAAAAAAAACAGTTAACGAGGGTGGGAAGAGATATTGGTACATATTATTTGTGTACATCTATATATATTCCATATATAATTTTCTCCGGCATATGCACCACACTCATTGGGAAATCAGTCGATGTCGCAGAAATATTAGAAAAACGAACGCTTAGAGTTCACACAACACCGAATAGGGTTCGTCGGAATCGATAACGTAATTAAAAAAAAGAAAACAAAAAAAAAGAAAATCCTCCCCATATTCTCTTTCGATTATAGTGATAGCGTACACGATATATTTTTTATACGTATGATTTTTCGTATCTTTCGCACTTTACACGTCGTAATGTGACGTAAAACTGTGTACCAATTCGTGACACACGCAGCTGACTTTTATAACGGAATGATTTATTTGAAATTTTTTCTTATATATCCACCGTATTATGTATACATGTTATTTAGTATTATTCTGTGATTGATGCAACTTTTACAAAAAGTTATGCAAACAGCATGAAGGGAGTGACACTGTTTCAGCAGAAGTAATCTCGTATTGGATCAAAACAAAGTTTATCGCACAAGTCAGAATAACATATTAAAAAGAATATTGCGCAAAAAATTCTCTTTTCTTTGTATGAAATTATTTATAAAAAATTTTGTATATTAATATTCAATTCTATAAATTAGTTACGCTTACAATTATAGTAAAAAAAAATCAAGCCCATTTCTTTACTCGACGTGACAATATGCGCAATCTTAAAAATTGCGCATTGTTACTTCTGCTGAGGCCGGTAAGCCCCGTTTTACTTACGGTATCTATTGTGCGGCACAGAATGTTCATGTATCGGTGCACAGAATTTTATCGTGATGAAAAAAAAAAAAAAGGAAAACGGAGCCCGCTTCTTCCTTCTTCCGGCGCATCCGGTCGGGAGAAGGAAGAAGATCGAATTAAACTGTAAAAAAACGAAAAAAAAAAACAAAATAGTAAAAGAGAATCTCGTCCGCACGAGTTACGCGATTTTGTAGGCTTGTACGTACGTATGTCTGTCTGTCGGCCGTGTGTTTGTCAGTGTATGCATTGCAGTTCTATCACCAAACCGACTCGTACAAGAATACGCTGAAGTACATGAACATGTGCTTCACGGGGATGTTCACTGTCGAGTGCATACTGAAGATCGCCGCATTCGGTGTGAAGGTAGGCTCCACATACCGCAAACCACCCCTCTCTCTTTCTTTCTCTCTCATCGAGCTCTCACTACATATATTTCCGAGTAAAGCGAGTTTTTAATTCGAGACTCTCGAGTAGCGCGAAAAATGACTCTCTTCGTGACCATTCCTATAAATGAAACTTTAATAATCTTCAAAAACTTTTGCATTAAACACGTACGCATACACACACACACACACATATACACAGTCTTTTTCTCTTTTTTCTGTCAAAATAATTAAACAAGCACATCGCAACAAATGAGTGTGCATACATTGCACACTTGACGTAATCAATTTGCTGACCGAACAAAATGTCGGAAAAATTGGCGAAGAATAATAAAGCGAAGAGAAATAACAAATTTTCAAAATGTTCTTTTGTTGAAGTATAAATAAAATACTAAATAATATAATGAAAAAAAGAGCGGAAACGTCACGAGAGTCAATTCTCGCGTCGCCCGGTAAGTGCAGCTTATTAGAAAGTATAATTAGAGCATCTTCTTCGCGAGTACCGATGTAGCAATATGACGTATCAAGACGGTCTCGGTACCGCGGAGAGACGACATATTTATTTATTTTCTATCTCTCTCGCGCGTACATAATATTATACATAGAATATTACTATTTAGTGAACTTTCTGTGCGCAGGGCTGAACAAGCGCTAGATGCTGTCGGAGTAGTTGTAGCGTTTCCATTTCTCTCGATATACTTCATACGAACGTATAGATATGTATCTCGATAGAACTAGAATGGTATTATTTTCGATGGTACTATTTTTTGTAAGAAATTATATAGATGCAAGATCTAGATAGTACATACTTCTTTTTTATTATACTCGCAATATACTCGTTATTCTTGTCATTGCAAAACCAAAAGCAAGATAAAAACTCTACAAGTACTTTAGTATGCGGAAAATGCTCAGCTCTGTACACGTGAATCGAGCTTCGAGATAATCTGGGAAGATTCGCGAGAACACGAATAAATTTCTTAAGTTTCATTTCCAAGATCTGCTTCTGAATTTTATTTTATTTCAAATACATGATGTGGCTTTTTGATCAGTGTTCTCTCTTTTCTGTGCATTCTGTTTTGTGAGTATACATCTACTTGTTTTTTTAATATTATTTATATTAGTCATTTTATGTAATTTTTAATCTTCATCTCTAAAACACTTTTATTAACCATAATTTTTTTTTAATAAATAGATGAATAAGCGTGTTAAATTTTAGGACAAGATAGAATCCGATATGTGTCGCGTGTGAAGATGAAACATCAAGCCAAAATCTTCCTAGATGTTCAAAATTACACTGAATATCGCGATAACAAGATAAAACTATCAAATGAGACAGTAATATTGTGTTTTCTTTTATTTTTGTCAGCAAAATGACCGTATTTATAAGATTAATATATTACCGTTTATATAATAATATTAATTTATTCTCTATCATTTTTTTGTTTTTATCTCGTTATCGTGATAAACTAGAGCTACACATTATACAAAAAAAAAACCCATTCAGACTACGATCGAATATTTATAAAAGAATTAACATTGACCGATTTTTCGAGATATTCGACCGCAGTTTTGAATGGATGAATTATCTTATTCGCGAAAACCGGTGATGTTCTAGTTTTTCTATTATTTATTACGTTTGATATATTAATTTAATGCGTAAAATCAACGAAGCGCATAACTCACAGATAAGCATATTCTTAGAGATACAGTTTATACTTCACATACAGCAGACAATTACACTTAACACACGTACTCATGAAGATTCATACATTACACGTGATTACACGACACTCACATACAATTCAAACACAGTACATATTCGAGAACATACAACTCTCATGTCGGATTATTTTCAGTTTGTCTGTCTTTCTCTCTATTCCTCTCATTCTTCTCTCTCTCTCTCTCTCTTTCTCTCTCTCTCTCTCTCTCTTTCTCTGTCTTCCTGTTTGTGTGTGTTCTGTTCTATTTTTTGTTTTCGCGCTCGTCATCATTTATAATTTCCGTAAAATACTTTCGAATCGAGAACTCGGAACGCGCGCGCGCGCGGGCGGGAAAATAAACTCTAGAGAAGAAGTACCGAGTGAAGAAAGAGGTGTATAGAATGGAAGCTCCGTTTCTTTGAAACACCCCTTGCATGCTTTTTGCCCGCGTCTTGCCTGCATTCGCACGCAATCATTTGCACGGTCTGACATGGTTTTTTGATCCTCGCATGCGTATATATACATCACAGTTGTATAATTATGACTGCCGCGTTGCGCGAGATCCGGGAATGACAACGGTGGCGATGACGGTGACGATTATGATGATGATGATGATGATAATGATGATGATGATGATGACGACGACGATGATAATGATAACGATGATATTAATGATAATAATAATGATGATAATAATGATCATGACGATGATGACGATGATGATGATGACAATGATGATCTATGTGATGATCGAGACGACGAGATTGAAGCCGAGAGAAGCCGCGTAAGCGCTTCTTACGCTTGCTCGTCGCATGCATGCTGTTGTGTTGTGGGAAAGAGCATAAACTTCCGTTTCACACGAGCACACACTCAGCACACACGGGATTGAACGTCGTATACCAAACGTATGCACACCGATCGAGACTTACATTAACACTTACATAATACGACGAATCTCTCGGGAATCGGTCACCCTGTCGGAGATTGGTTAGATTTGCTTGATAAAATCTTGAAAGGAGAGATGTTTTATTTTGGGACGAAACACTAACAAATCAAACTCGATTGCCGCAAAATTAGTTTGATTAAAGAGAAATATCTTTTTTTATCTAACAATTTTCTAAACGAGAAATAAGTTTAATCAGAAACATATATTTTTATATGCAATATACTTTTATACGTAATGAAATATATATATATAGACAAATATTTTTGCAAACATGGAAGGTAATAAATTGTAGAGCGATCGGAAAATTAATCTTTTTATGCGTCATTTTTATGCGTGTTCTTGATAGAAATTTAAAACCACAAATTTTGAGGAATAAAAAAAATTCATATTAATAAAATATTGTGATAAGAGTAATAATAATAAAGAATTTAAACAGTTCAGGTTTAGATAAATTAAGTTTTGTTTATTTTATATTACGTGTAAAATCTTTTTCTCTGCAAATAAAATTAGTCAAGGTTAGTCTCTCAGAGGAAAGAACGACGAGGAAAAAAATAATCAAATGTTAGAGACTAATTGAAAGAAAAAAACGGAGAAATGTATATGTAGATGTAATATGCAGGGCGCACAACGGAATATTAGACTCTGGATTGTGTTACGTCTGTGTGTTGGGTGTATTTTGTAGTATCACGAAGCGCCGGAAGATTTATTGGACACCTTAGCCATCGTGAACATGATCGTCACCTTGTTTTTCCTCATTGAGTGCATCCTTAAACTCGTCGCCTTCGGATGGAAGGTATAAACAAGCCTTTTAAATCGCTCTAACTCCACCACTCTCACTCGACTTACACTCTGCAAAAAAAATATATATATATATATTTATATCACTGTAATAATACCACTGTAATAATACCACCGAGACCGACATCACTCACTTGGTCATCATTAACCGCGTGATTTTACCCGGTCGGAGGATTTTCGTGAAGAAAAGTGGGGATCCCGAAAAACTGGCGAGAGGAATGAAAGGGAATGCATCGAGACATTGCGAATGAAAATCCATATTTTTTTTTTTTTTTATACGAGAGATGTGCGATCGTTTTGTTAGATTTTTATATCAGTTTGTATACTAGAGAGTTGTGTTTTTTTTTTAATACATATAAAAAGTAGTAAATTGCCAGAAAACGAAAAAAAAAAAAACAATTTTTTCGTCAATGAAGTTTGATGTTTCCGTTGGATTTCTTACGTAGAAAATTGTATAAGCTAGAAATAAAATTAGAGAGTTTGGTAGTAATAAATATATTAAGACGTACTACGAAGTAAATTTGTTTCTTAGAAATAACAGTGCATCCACAATCGCTTTGCGAATTAAGTTCCGAACAAGTAGATAAAGGCTTGATCTTTGATTAGATAAATACAAACAGATCTATTTTCAATTTACGAAAGAAGAGAGAGTCGTCAAGAATTTAATGCTGCAAGCATGGGCGTCCGCAGAGGGGGAGGACAAACCCGGCATTTGTCCCCTCCTCTGGAAAGGCAAGTTTTTTCACAAATTGTGTTTTTTATCTTGAAACAAGTTTGAAATCCCTGGTTTTAACAAATTATATCATACATCTATTTGTGAAAACTCTCTGTATAGTGAAATCTTTCTGTAAAATTCATAATTTTTGGGACAGAATTGTTCCGCTCCCGAAAAAAATCCTGCGGACGTCCATAGCTGCAAGAATGGCTTCTCCATTAAATTTTTATCAACCGAACATCAAAGTTTCTTAAGATCAAAGAATAAGCTTTTTTTTTTATGTAAAACCTGATATTAAAGTTTTATATGGAAAGTTTTAGGAATTAAATAACGACTTTGATCTTTGATTCTGGCAAAGGTAGAAGAATATTAAAGACAAGTTCGAATGTCTCTACTTCTCTCTCTCTCGCTCTAGTTTTGCTTGTTATTACCGGCATGCTCCTGTAGAAATACTTCTCTAGAAAGAGATCCCGTCACACTTATACTCCAGCCGAGATCATCAATCACTAAAGCGTACAAATTGAATAAACGCTTTAAAACGAAAAAATTACTCACGAACAGATTTCTTCGTGGATTTGCAATAAAAGCTAAAGGTCAATGGTATCTTTATTGTATCGGTAAAACTTATAGAATAAAATTTATCATTGCAAACACAATGTAACTATTAATTAAGTAGTTGAATAATTATAAACAAATTTATACACATTTATTATTATTTAAGATATTAGTTTTTACACACATTTTGAAGTAAATAATTTTTAAAATATAACATTTTTTAAATGTAATAATATTTTTCTGCAAAATACTTGCTCACTTATTTTGCATTGAGAGCAACTATAGATTCGTTCGAAAATTATTTCACGACGAAGAGATCTGATCAATGAAATTTCATTACAACATTCAAAGAAGCACCGTCTAGAGAAGTACACGTTACAGAGTTTCAATCTAATATAAGTATTACGTTCATATATAGAAGTGTTCACTTACACACAGACACGCACACAACAAAGAGTACACACGCACTTACACATAATATACTAATACATTCACAGAAGAAGCAGATCGTATATTACAATACTTTTTCTTGTATTTCTTTCGAAAGTCAAATTTGTAGTTCCTTCTTTAGTAGTAGCTAACGCAAACATCTCACAAACACTCAAAACTACGCCCAAGTTCGTTTAACAGACCACCGAGACATGTAAACGACTATGTTAAATTATTACTTGCCTGCGCTATGGATATTTTCACACGTCACACAAGAGAGACACAATGACGAGTGTAACAAACCGAATAAAAAACAAAATAAAAATCTAAAAAAATAACAGAAATAAAGAATATTTCTCAGTAGAAATATCAGAAAAAATTTATAAATTTTAAGTTTCTTTTATTTTTAAATTAACATAAAGAAAAAATAAGAATGGCTTTGAATAATCTAACAATAATTATGGATGTGACAAAACAATTTTCACAAATAATTTATTTTACACAATACTTAAAAAATTAAACTTATATTCTATAGAGAGTATATTATAAAATTATATGTAGTTTTGTTATACATGTCTAAAAATTCAGTATTTATATTATAAAGTTGTAAAACAATTATCAAGTTCTTGATTAAAAACTAATAAACCTCTGGTTTACTTTCCTGTTACATATAGTTTGAAATAGCACATTGAATTTTAATTTTTTTTTTTTTGTCATTTTGCGGTAGTCTACTTTTTATTCAAACTCTTCATGGTGTCTCGGCTGAAAAATTCTGGTTGCTCGTGTACAGAGAATTAGATTCTTGATTTTGCATTCGATTTGCGATGAAAAAATGTGTCGGAGCTGTTTAGCGAGCTTCGGGATAGTAGAATCAAATACCGATTACGCGGTGGACGATAAGATCACTTTTGCTAATCGATTATTTCCGACTTGTTCCCGCGAGCAGAACTTCTTCAAGGATGCCTGGAACACCTTCGACTTCATCACGGTGATCGGCAGTATCGTGGACGCCCTTGTGATCGAGTTCGGGGTACGTAGAGCACCGACAAGTAGCAGGAGAAAAAGTATAAGTGTGTTAATTGCCGCTAGTTACTAAAACCCGTAATAGAACTTTTCCAGGTATATATATATATATATATATACCTATATATATATATATATATATATATATATATATATGCATATGTAATCGAGAACCTATACCAGGATACCCGAGGCTAGACTGTGATTAAAATGGCTGCCTGTTCTAACGAAAAATTATTCCGATGAGACAAAGGTCGGAATCAATCCTGTGTGTTGATGTAAATATAACGGTGGTAGCAAAAATGTGAAGTAAATATAAACAAAGTGACTACAATGCGAGACCGCCACCCGTTTAAATATGTTCAACACATACCAGAGAGAAAATTCTGAAACCTGAAATGTGAGATTTCGTCGGAATACGTTTTACGTCGGAACACGCATCCGAAATATATATATAGCGATCCTCACATATATTCGTCGCGGCAGTGTTGCTTAATGTGTACCTTTGTTTTTCGTTGAACCCTTTTGCTGCTTATTTAGATCCGTGTGACAAGCTCTAGCAGGTAAATTACAAAAACCGAAATACCTCGATTACCTTTGTGTGTCTTTTTAGCTTCGTTCTGCATTCATACGCTAACATACATATCACACTCTGTACATTGCTACATCTCTGCACAATATATATATACATTTATGAGCAGTGATAGTGATACATGAAGCCACATATATACATATATATTTATATAAATATAAACATGTTCCCACGACACATTCCCGTCCGTTCTTTGTATTAGGAACATCCCATTTTTTTTTTATTATTATATACTTTGTGACTATATAGATTTATCGATATATAACCTTGTGATATATAGATGAGACCAACGTCGATTGTAGTTTGGAAGAGGAAGCAAAACATTTTACCATTAGGATGTTTAATATCCATTTTCTTCCAAGTCGCACAATAGCGCGTTGGTTGTTTCTGTTTTCTCCCATTTTTTCAGTGATATGTAGCAGTCTATAGTTGAGAATATATGTATATAAATAATAATATTCTGAGTCTCTCTCTCTCTCTCTCTCTTTCTCTCTCTCGCAGAATCTCTCTCTATCTCAGATAGAGATATATATACATCTCTCCAGTAAAAGTATGTGACAAAGTCTGTATATTTGCTGCTTGCGCTTGCGAAACATTTTTCATAAATAAATATTGTACCTTAGAAGGTAAGAGAAATAGTTAGTTAATTTAATCATCGTGAAGTGAGTATTGAGTCCCTTGAGATATATTGAGGCTGCTTTTACGAGATTATATTCATCGTCCAAGTGTTTATTTGCCAGTCGTTAGTGCCTCTGTTCTTTATATATCATTGTAATTGCCAGAAGATTGAACGACACAATTGAAGTTCAATTACTTGAGAATGGAATAATCTCGCAATCTCGCATATTTCTGTACTAGGAGCGGTTTTCGAGCGTGCCCACCACGCCAGGTGGCCAGATAGGCGAAAAGAAGGTATAAAATTACTATGCAATTTTTACAGTTGACGAAACGTAAGTTGGAAAGAAGTTTACGGCATTGCAAGTAACAGAATTACCAGTTAAACAGTGTGCAGATATTATATAAATTTGATTTCTCTCTCTCTCTATCTATCTATCTCTCTCTCTCTCTGTGTAGAATATAATCAGATATATGAGTCTTTCTTTCTCTTTCTCTCTCTCTCTTTTTTCTACAACAACTTACAAGCTCTGTTATTTTCAACATATAGATACCTCTCTCTCTTTCTCTCTCTCTCTATTTTATCATTATCATTTTTCTCTCGAACTCTCTGTTGTTGGTAGCGACAATTATGATAAAAAAGAATCCGACGAAACGAGATTTGACATGATTTTATTCGCAATTATTTGCAAGCAAGATTCGAACAGATTAACAGAAAAAAAGAGAGTAGTGTTTAATATTATTTTTGTTTCTTAAGGATTTTTTCCTCAGTCAGTTCTAGTTGAAGAAGTCAGTTTCACTTTTAATCCCGTTTTAATTATCCTGTGTGCATGTATAATACTTTTCTGAATACATATATACTAATCGTACACGACACTAACAGTCTCGAACATCTTACAACACCGACACCACCAGTTCAGATAGTTGTTTACATTGTAGTCACACTACAGACTATATACTATAAAAAGGCATATGGATGCGGTGTCTGATCTATTTCGATATCTATTTCTTTGTGTATAACAGACGACAGTCAAAAAAAAAAAAACGGTCCGATTGTCACAGCAAAAGGGTTGACGTAATTACGTTTTCATCACGTAATTACGTTGGAGTTTAAATATGTGATTCTGTCAACGAAAATCACAAAAGAAGAAACAATGAAGTTTGTGTTGTCCAACGTTAAGTTGAGTTGATCGAAATTTGAAATTTAAACAAAACACAGATCCTCAATGAAACGCCATTAGTTTAGCATACTGACAACAAAAAATACAATTAGTTCATTACTTAAAGAAAAATGTTTATTTACAACATTACTGATGAGATTAGTGATTACTAATTCATGTTAGTTTTACTTCTCTTCTTTCGGCAGTGAGATCTTGCACTTTTAAGATACTTCTCTTTCCTTAAATTGTATCAAAGTGTAATATTTATTTGTATAGTTTTTTTTTTTTGTTTTGTTTAATATATTGCACAAGAAAAGTGGTTCGCTCTATAGCTTCGTTCGTGCATCGTCGAAGAAAAAAAGCACCCTCGAAGAGAGATTGACATTCCTCGATGGGTGGTTTAATGCGAAAAAACGCTGCACGCACGAAGCTCCATCCTGGCACGCGATAAGAAGTCGGCATTTTGTGGGGTTAAAGTGCAATTTCCTCTGTCCGCTGCAGGAGAACTTTATCAACGTCGGCTTCCTGAGGCTCTTTCGCGCCGCCAGACTCATCAAACTACTCAGGCAGGGATACACGATACGAATTTTACTCTGGACCTTCGTACAATCCTTCAAAGTAAGCACGTTTTGTCTTAAATCGCGCGAGAATCAATGATATTCTTTTTCTTGTTAACTTGCACTTATATCAGCTCACTGAATCACGTACACACTAGTCGCACTTGTTAATTTTCAATATTTTTTTTTAGTATTATACGTCAAATGTAATTTTATTTGTTTATTTCTGCACTATTGTGACTAATCACACAAATAAAACGAGAGACAGTAAGAATAATGGTTTTCGTCTTCTTCCAGGCTTTGCCTTACGTTTGTCTTCTCATAGCTATGCTGTTCTTCATCTACGCGATCATCGGTATGCAGGTATGAATCCTCCTCTGTTTTTTCTTGAATTTTTTTCGGGACGCTCTCTCCCGAATTCGATTGTGTTGATAAACGCGCTTTTAAACGAGATGACGTACTTAGAAAAGTATCAAATTTAAGTAACAATTATCCAGGGAATCAATGATCGATTGGTGATAATCTAGAAAGGGGAGTGACATGTGTTGTTTTAGAAGCAATAGATACAGCAAAAAAAATATTATTAATACGTTCCACATAAAAACAAAAAAAAAACAAGAAGAAAACCACAATATATTCAATTCTATTTATTTTCTAAAGATTTTCATAACTTTAATATAAACATTCATCTGTGAATAATGAATTGCATATCAAGATTGAGACTTATTTGCGAAAGCAAGAAATCACAGTTGCTAAATTCCGCTAACTCCCACGAAAGTCGAGTTCGTCTCAGCTTTTCTCGAGTCGAAAAGCGATAACGGCGCGCGTCGAAATTAATTTCGGGATTAGTCTCTGGCACACGCGACCTTGCAGATTGGGAATATTAAGTGACAGATAGCAGTTCCCGGGGTGGCCATAAAGTGACCCTGAAATTGTCCGTTGTCAGGTCTTCGGCAATATATCGAACGATCCGGAAACAGCAATCGATGATCACAACAACTTTCAGTCCTTCTTCGCCGGTCTTATGTTGCTTTTTCGGTGAGTCGAGCAGCTAGATTGATTGCCGGTTCGACGGCGACCAAGTAAGATTTACACACTTCCGGCCAATCAACCGGCTGATCTAACTGTCGTTTCCCTCTCGTACGAAAAAGAAAGAGAAAGTAAAAGTAGTTTGTTACAAAAGTAGCTTCTAGTGCAATCTTTACTTTTTTTTGTTTGAAGTGTGAGAAAAATATTCTTGTCTCATAGTCTCTCTCTTTCTTTATTTGTTTTTTTTTGTACGTGAAGTAGACGCTTTTGGACAACCACTGGCCTGTCGTCGCGATGTTTCGCGATGCTTCGCGCATGCATCGCAGGAGAGATCCTGTAACGTCGCGGAAAATTTTTGCATCTCTCGATCGATGTGAGAGTCGCAAACGAAACAATTTCGTTTTAAAAATGTTGTTCTCCCAATGTTAAACGTGATATTTCGAGCCGAAAGCTCGTCGACATTTCATTCGCGTGAAAAAAAAAAAAGTGAATGTTCAGCGCGAAACGTGTATTGATCACCTTGTCCACCTTTCTTACGACGCTCACGAAGCATCATCGAGGATCTCGCGCGACACAGATGAAAAAAAAGACACGCCGTCGAACATTGAGCGAAAATTAAACGGAATATATTTTGAAAGTGTGATCGTTCGTAAATTACTTTTACGGTAGATAATACTGCTTTGTTGGCATGAGCTGTAAACGAGAGTAAGCTGCTCGACGTGTTAATCTGTTGTGACTCACCTCCCCCCCAATTAGTAACATCCTCATTAGAGAAGTTTATTCCACATAGTGACTGCCTGCGTTAGAGTCTTGAGATTATGGTTGAGGTGATGCTTGAGAGAATACGTTTTATATTCGAGAACGTTTATATCGAACATGATATATGATTTCTCTCTGGTTGCAAATATGTAATATTTATTGTTTAACTTTGAGTAGAATACATCGTATTTTAAATTGAGATTTAATATGTATCGTTATTATATTGTTTACGCAGCGTAGAAATCTTAGATCAATGTAGATATTGGTCCAAAGGACAAGAAATATAATTTGTTTTTCAAGTAGACAAGTATTTTTTTGCGACTCAATTCTCTCGAGTACACCGTGTATTCTTTTGCTGAAAAAAAAAAAGTATGAGAGATTGTAGTTAGAAACAGTATATTGAACATATTACATATATGTACTCTGATAGTCGTTACATATATAATGTACACAAGTCTGTGATCAAAACGGTATATACAGAGAACGAAAATAACGGTTTTACAGAAAGAAGGAAAGAGGATTGTTTTTATAAATTTTTTTTTTTTTTT